GAGATGGAATGTCTCACCTCTAGCATGATGAGATGGAATGTCTCACCTCTAGCATGATGAGATGAAATGTCTCACCTCTAGCATGATGAGATGGAATATCTCACCTCTAGCATGATGAGATGAAATGTCTCACCTCTAGCATGATGAGATGGAATGTCTCACCTCTAGCATGATGAGATGAAATGTCTCACCTCTAGCATGATGAGATGGAATGTCTCACCTCTAGTATGATGAGATGGAATGTCTCACCTCTAGCATGATGAGATGAAATGTCTCACCTCTAGCATGATGAGATGGAATGTCTCACCTCTAGCATAATGAGATGGAATGTCTCACCTCTAGCATGTTGAGATGAAATGTCTCACCTCTAGCATGTTGAGATGGAATGTCTCACCTCTAGTATGATGAGATGAAATGTCTCACCTCTAGCATGTTGAGATGGAATGTCTCACCTCTAGCATGATGAGATGGAATGTCTCACCTCTAGTATGATGAGATGGAATGTCTCACCTCTAGCATGATGAGATGGAATGTCTCACCTCTAGCATGAGATGAAATGTCTCACCTCTAGCATAATGAGATGGAATGTCTCACCTCTAGCATGAGATGAAATGTCTCACCTCTAGCATGTTGAGATGGAATGTCTCACCTCTAGCATGATGAGATGAAATGTCTCACCTCTAGTATGATGAGATGGAATGTCTCACCTCTAGCATGATGAGATGGAATGTCTCACCTCTAGCATGAGATGAAATGTCTCACCTCTAGCATAATGAGATGGAATGTCTCACCTCTAGCATGAGATGAAATGTCTCACCTCTAGCATGATGAGATGGAATGTCTCACCTCTAGCATGAGATGAAATGTCTCACCTCTAGCATGATGAGATGAAATGTCTCACCTCTAGCATGATGAGATGGAATGTCTCACCTCTAGCATGATGAGATGGAATATCTCACCTCTAGCATGATGAGATGAAATGTCTCACCTCTAGCATGATGAGATGGAATGTCTCACCTCTAGCATGATGAGATGGAATGTCTCACCTCTAGCATGATGAGATGGAATGTCTCACCTCTAGCATGATGAGATGGAATGTCTCACCTCTAGCATGATGAGATGAAATGTCTCACCTCTAGCATGATGAGATGGAATGTCTCACCTCTAGTATGATGAGATGGAATGTCTCACCTCTAGCATGTTGAGATGGAATGTCTCACCTCTAGCATGATGAGATGGAATGTCTCACCTCTAGCATGATGAGATGAAATGTCTCACCTCTAGCATGATGAGATGAAATGTCTCACCTCTAGCATGATGAGATGAAATGTCTCACCTCTAGCATGATGAGATGGAATGTCTCACCTCTAGCATGTTGAGATGAAATATCTCACCTCTAGCATGATGAGATGAAATGTCTCACCTCTAGCATGATGAGATGGAATGTCTCACCTCTAGCATGTTGAGATGGAATGTCTCACCTCTAGCATGTTGAGATGGAATGTCTCACCTCTAGTATGATGAGATGGAATGTCTCATCTCTAGCATGAGATGGAATATCTCACCTCTAGCATGATGAGATGAAATGTCTCACCTCTAGCATGATGAGATGGAATGTCTCACCTCTAGTATGATGAGATGGAATGTCTCACCTCTAGCATGATGAGATGGAATGTCTCACCTCTAGCATAATGAGATGGAATGTCTCACCTCTAGCATGAGATGAAATGTCTCACCTCTAGCATGATGAGATGAAATGTCTCACCTCTAGCATGATGAGATGAAATGTCTCACCTCTAGCATGATGAGATGGAATGTCTCACCTCTAGCATGATGAGATGGAATATCTCACCTCTAGCATGATGAGATGAAATGTCTCACCTCTAGCATGATGAGATGGAATGTCTCACCTCTAGTATGATGAGATGGAATGTCTCACCTCTAGCATGATGAGATGGAATGTCTCACCTCTAGCATAATGAGATGGAATGTCTCACCTCTAGCATGAGATGAAATGTCTCACCTCTAGCATGATGAGATGAAATGTCTCACCTCTAGCATGATGAGATGAAATGTCTCACCTCTAGCATGATGAGATGGAATGTCTCACCTCTAGCATGATGAGATGGAATATCTCACCTCTAGCATGATGAGATGAAATGTCTCACCTCTAGCATGATGAGATCGAATGTCTCACCTCTAGTATGATGAGATGGAATGTCTCACCTCTAGCATGATGAGATGGAATGTCTCACCTCTAGTATGATGAGATGGAATGTCTCACCTCTAGCATGATGAGATGAAATGTCTCACCTCTAGCATGATGAGATGAAATGTCTCACCTCTAGCATGATGAGATGGAATGTCTCACCTCTAGCATAATGAGATGGAATGTCTCACCTCTAGCATGAGATGAAATGTCTCACCTCTAGCATGATGAGATGAAATGTCTCACCTCTAGCATGATGAGATGGAATGTCTCACCTCTAGCATAATGAGATGGAATGTCTCACCTCTAGCATGAGATGGAATGTCTCACCTCTAGTATGATGAGATGGAATGTCTCACCTCTAGCATGATGAGATGGAATGTCTCACTTCTAGTATGATGAGATGGAATGTCTCACCTCTAGCATGATGAGATGGAATGTCTCACCTCTAGCATAATGAGATGGAATGTCTCACCTCTAGCATGAGATGAAATGTCTCACCTCTAGCATGATGAGATGAAATGTCTCACCTCTAGCATGATGAGATGAAATGTCTCACCTCTAGCATGATGAGATGGAATGTCTCACCTCTAGCATGAGATGAAATGTCTCACCTCTAGCATGATGAGATGAAATGTCTCACCTCTAGCATGATGAGATGAAATGTCTCACCTCTAGCATGATGAGATGGAATGTCTCACCTCTAGCATGATGAGATGGAATGTCTCACCTCTAGCATGATGAGATGGAATGTCTCACCTCTAGCATGATGAGATGGAATGTCTCACCTCTAGCATAATGAGATGGAATGTCTCACCTCTAGCATGAGATGAAATGTCTCACCTCTAGCATGATGAGATGAAATGTCTCACCTCTAGCATGATGAGATGAAATGTCTCACCTCTAGCATGATGAGATGAAATGTCTCACCTCTAGCATGATGAGATGGAATGTCTCACCTCTAGCATGATGAGATGGAATGTCTCACCTCTAGCATGATGAGATGGAATATCTCACCTCTAGCATGATGAGATGAAATGTCTCACCTCTAGCATGAGATGAAATGTCTCACCTCTAGCATGATGAGATGAAATGTCTCACCTCTAGCATGATGAGATGAAATGTCTCACCTCTAGCATGATGAGATGAAATGTCTCACCTCTAGCATGATGAGATGGAATGTCTCACCTCTAGCATGATGAGATGGAATGTCTCACCTCTAGCATGATGAGATGGAATATCTCACCTCTAGCATGTTGAGATGAAATGTCTCACCTCTAGCATGATGAGATGAAATGTCTCACCTCTAGCATGTTGAGATGAAATGTCTCACCTCTAGCATGATGAGATGGAATGTCTCACCTCTAGTATGATGAGATGGAATGTCTCACCTCTAGCATGATGAGATGAAATGTCTCACCTCTAGCATGATGAGATGGAATGTCTCACCTCTAGCATGATGAGATGGAATGTCTCACCTCTAGCATGATGAGATGAAATGTCTCACCTCTAGCATGTTGAGATGGAATATCTCACCTCTAGCATGATGAGATGAAATGTCTCACCTCTAGCATGATGAGATGGAATGTCTCACCTCTAGCATGATGAGATGAAATGTCTCACCTCTAGCATGATGAGATGGAATGTCTCACCTCTAGTATGATGAGATGGAATGTCTCACCTCTAGCATGATGAGATGAAATGTCTCAGCTCTAGCATGATGTGATGGAATGTCTCACCTCTAGCATGATGAGATGAAATGTCTCACCTCTAGCATGATGAGATGGAATGTCTCACCTCTAGCATAATGAGATGGAATGTCTCACCTCTAGCATGAGATGAAATGTCTCACCTCTAGCATGATGAGATGAAATGTCTCACCTCTAGCATGATGAGATGGAATGTCTCACCTCTAGCATGAGATGAAATGTCTCACCTCTAGCATAATGAGATGGAATGTCTCACCTCTAGCATGAGATGAAATGTCTCACCTCTAGCATGATGAGATGAAATGTCTCACCTCTAGCATGTTGAGATGGAATGTCTCACCTCTAGCATGTTGAGATGGAATGTCTCACCTCTAGCATGATGAGATGAAATGTCTCACCTCTAGCATGATGAGATGGAATGTCTCACCTCTAGCATGATGAGATGGAATGTCTCACCTCTAGCATGATGAGATGGAATGTCTCACCTCTAGCATGATGAGATGAAATGTCTCACCTCTAGCATGATGAGATGAAATGTCTCACCTCTAGCATGATGAGATGAAATGTCTCACCTCTAGTATGATGAGATGGAATGTCTCACCTCTAGCATGATGAGATGGAATGTCTCACCTCTAGCATGAGATGAAATGTCTCACCTCTAGCATAATGAGATGGAATGTCTCACCTCTAGCATGAGATGAAATGTCTCACCTCTAGCATGATGAGATGAAATGTCTCACCTCTAGCATAATGAGATGGAATGTCTCACCTCTAGTATGATGAGATGAAATGTCTCACCTCTAGCATGAGATGAAATGTCTCACCTCTAGCATAATGAGATGAAATGTCTCACCTCTAGCATGATGAGATGGAATGTCTCACATCTAGCATGTTGAGATGGAATGTCTCACCTCTAGCATGAGATGAAATGTCTCACCTCTAGCATGATGAGATGGAATGTCTCACCTCTAGCATGTTGAGATGGAATGTCTCACCTCTAGCATGTTGAGATGAAATGTCTCACCTCTAGCATGATGAGATGAAATGTCTCACATCTAGCATGTTGAGATGGAATGTCTCACCTCTAGCATGATTAGGTTGATGAGTCCAACAGACAGAGGTAGTATGAAAGTAGGGTCTGGCACGGTGAGGTCTGTGAACCACAGGGTCCCTTCCGTCCTCAGCCCTGGACACAGGACCGGCGACTCTGCAGGGGTAATACATAACAGCATCAGACACTAACACAATACCCTTCTGTCCTCAGTCGAGGACAGAAATCGACTACATGACGGTGACTATATGACGGTGACTATATGATGGTGACTCTATGACAATGACTCTATGATGGTGACTATATATCATCGACTATATGACGGTGACTATATGATGGTGACTCTATGACAATGACTCTATGATGGTGACTATATATCATCGACTATATCACGGTGACTATATGATGGTGACTCTATGACAATGACTCTATGATGGTGACTATATGATGGTGACTATATATCATTGACTATAGGATGGTGACCACAGGGGCGTGTCACGCTTAGAAACAGCGTTAGAAAAACATAGGTATATAGACCCTACCCTATTACTATATAAAAGGAAAGGGGTGTAAAGACGGAACCACCCCCTCCTCAATCTAAGTTAGATTTCACCATGTAAACTATTTTTAAGGCCCCGTCGAGGCCTACGGATCAAAAGCGAGATGATTTCCCTACAAAAAGGGGTATAAATGGTCACAATCGGATCATTATTTCAAAAGTTATGCGCCACGACTCACCGAAAACAGCTACCTCCGCAATTCCAACCCAAAATCATGGATCACCCAAGACAGCGAAAACTCACCTATTAAATTCGTTTATTAATTCCAGCCACGTTGACAGCACCTATGTAGGGCTAGATTACAAATTTACTGCTCAGATCACTTGAATGTCAAGGCCATCTATGGCCGACAAGTGAGTGTGACTGCCGATGGTTTTGGAGAAAATGCCTGCTTACTGTCGAGGAAATGATTTGTAGATGTTGCAATAAGTTTTCAGACCCGTGGAATGGCGCTGCCGATCGAATCTAGCCCTACATAGGTGCTGTCAAAGTGGCTGGAATTAATAAACAAATTTAATAGGTGAGTTTTCGCTGTCTTGGGTGATCCATGATTTTGGCTTGGAATTGCGGAGGTAGCTGTTTTCGGTGAGTCGTGCCGATAACTTTTGAAATAATGATCCGATTGTGACCATTAATAGCTCATTTTGTAGGGAAATCATCTCGCTTTTGATCCGTAGGCCTCGACGGGGCCTTAAAAATAGTTTACATGGTGAAATCTAACTTAGATTGAGGAGGGGGTGGTTCTGTCTTTACACCCCTTTCCTTTTATATAGTACTAGGGTAGGGTCTATATGCCTATGTTTTTCTAACGCTGTTTCTAAGCGTGACACACCCCTGTGATGGTGACTATATGATGGTGACTATATATCATTGACTATAGGATGGTGACTATATGATGGTGAAAACTTGACAGTGACTACATCACAGTGACTATATGAGGGTGACTACATGACGGTGACTACATGACGTTGACTGTATGATGGTGACTATATGACGGTGACTATATGACGGTGACTATATGACAGTGACTACATGACGGTGACTACATGACGGTGACTACATGACAGTGACTACATGACGGTGACTACATGACAGTGACTACATGACGGTGACTATATGACAGTGACTACATGACGGTGACTACATGACAGTGACTACATGACGGTGACTACATGACGGTGACTACATGACAGTGACTACATGACGGTGATAGTGACTACATGACAGTGACAGTGACTACATGACAGTGACTACATGACAGTGACTATATGAGGGTGACTACATGACTTCATGACAGTGACTACATGACAGTGACTTCGACCAGCTGTATGATGGTGACTATATGATGACGGTGACTATATGATGACGGTGACTGACTACATGATGGTGACTACATGACAGTGACTACATGACAGTGACTACATGACGGTGACTACATGACAGTGACTACATGACGGTGACTATATGATGGTGACTACATGACAGTGACTACATGACAGTGACTACATCACAGTGACTAGATGACGGTGACTTCATGACGGTGACTATATGACGTTGACTGTATGATGGTGACTATATGACGGTGACTCTATGACAGTGACTACATCACAGTGACTCTATGACAGTGACTACATGACAGTGACTACATGACTGACGGCGACTACATGTGACTACACGATGACGGACTGACTACATGACGGACTATATGACTACTTCACAGCACATTGTGACTACATGCCGGTGACTACATGACGTTGACTGGATGATGGTGACTGGTATGATGGTGACTATATGATGGTGACTGTATGATGGTGACTATATGACGGTGACTCTATGACTGTGACTACATGACGGTGACTACATGACGGTGACTACATGACGGTGACTACATGACAGTGACTACATGACTACATGATCGGTGACTACATGACGTTGACTATATGACGCTGACTGTATGCATGATGGTGACTACTATATGGACGATGACTATATGATGGTGACTGACTATGACGGATGACTACAGACAGTGACTACATGACAGTGACTACATGACGGAGACTACATGACGGTGACTACATGACGTTGACTGGATGATGGTGACTATATGATGGTGACTACATGACGGTGACTACATGACAGTGACTACATGACGATGACTACACGGGTGGACTACATGACTACATGACGGTGACTATAGACTACACTACATGGCGTTGACTATATGGCGTTGACTGTATGATGGTGACTATATGATGACTATGGCACTGGTGACTACATGACAGTGACTACATACGACAGTGACTACATGGCGGAGAACTACATGGCGGTGGATGACTGGATGATGGTGACTATATGATGGTGACTGTATGATGGAAGGTGACTGACTATATGACGGTGACTCTGGAGACTGACGCATGACGGTGGGCTGCATGACTCTATGACGGTGACTACATGACGGTGACTACATGGCGATGGTGACTACATGATCGGTGACTACATGATGATTACTACATGACGCATGTGACTACATGGCGGTGACTACATGACGGAGACTATATGACGGTGACTGCTACGATGGCGAGACTACATGATGGTTACTACATGATGGTGACTATATGACGGTGACTACATAGCGATGGTGACACGTATGGCGGTGACTGTGACTATATATGATGGTGACTACATAGCCATGACTACATCACGAAGTGACTGTAAGCGGTGATGGTGACTGTATGGACGGTAAATAGGGTTACATAGCGATTAAACTGCTTGACGACTATATGATGTGATAGTGATTGACTGTATGTTACAGAGACTGAACCAAATATGGAGACTACCAGTTTGAGCCGGTGACGACATTGTGAAGAATCCTACAATGTTAACTACTGCAGTGGTAACTGCAACTCACATGAGGAGCTGTATGGCCGATGATGGTGACTAGCTCTGATGAGTTGACTATTGGTGAGATCCACTCATATGTTTACAGAGCTAGCGAGATCCAGTTTGATTTATTGAGATTATACACACTCACCGCCAACTACTGGCAGCTGGATGAGCGCTGGATAGACTGATGTGTGACCTTTCAGAGGATGGCAGTTCTCACGCACATAGATATCACTCATCAACCTCTTCATCTGAAAGTAGTCATCTATACTAGGCACATAAAGAAACTGTGCATACAAAAAATTTAAATCTAAATTTATCAAACCTGTGTAGACACATAAGGATTTAAACTCAGAGATTAGTGACATGTATCCAACATGCATACCGCGTGCCGCGTTCCGTGGCGTCAGTGGGTTCGATCCTTGAGGCGTGCAATCACCTGTTACCTGCGTGCATTCGGGAAAGAGAAACAGAGCAAATAGAATGCCACACAATACTGTCACTTTGAAAGCTCAACCCCTGCCCTTGCGATCGCTCAAAAACTAAACAGTTATTGAAACGCATAGCATGCCAAGGCTCCGCGTCTGCTGGCACAATCGCCATGAGGCCATTGGGATGGTCGTCATGGGGAATGTCTCAAGACAAGTGGCTGCACATTCCACTGCCACCGGAACACCATTTCTGCACTAGTGAGGGGCGCTACCAGGACACAAATGGCGTCATCGATGAAGCCACGTTCTGGATGTCCATGTAACAACGCCAAGACAGGACAGATAGATAAGGGTGACCCATCTTCGCCACAGGTTTCAGACTGCAGTGATGACTGCCCGAACCATCCCAGGACTTCGCCAGATTCACCCTTAACACAGATTCGACAACATTTACGTCATCATGGGATCAGACCGGCGTCCCACCATACGCCTATCCTGACACAGCGTCATCTCGACAAGCTCGCGAATGTGGTGCGAAATCATGTCCGCAGACCCTTGTTTTGGTGGAAAATGTTGTTTTACAGATTAGTCCAGGTTTAACATTTCCCATACTGATGGGCGTCAACGCGTCCTATAGGCGCTTAGGGAGAGCGTTATGCACAGGCCTGTGTCTTGGAGGAATCGCTTTTGTGGTGGTTCCGTGATGATTTGGGCTGGAATAACAGCATGCCAAAGAACTCCTATGGCGATTGTTCAGGGCAACATAACTGGTGTGGAGCCACAGGGATCAGATTCTTCAACCTGTGGCAATTCCTTTTCTACAACGTCATGGCCCTGGAGTTAACATTCCAACAGGACAATGCCCGCCCTCATACGGCAAGGGCTTGCTATGGATTTCTTGCAACACTACAAGCGTTGACTTACTGCCTTGGCCTGCAAATTCATCGAACTCTCCCGATGTAGAAAGCATGTTTGGGACGAGATGGATTGACGCGTCACGCCGTCTTCCTCATCCGCCAGATAACGCCCTTGACCTTGCAACAGAACTTGAGAATCTAGCGTGACATCCCACAAGCCTTCCTTGCACGCGTTTAATAGGCTCTATGCGTCATTCGATGCACTGCTATTCTCAATGCCGATGGTGGACATACCCGTTATTGAGCTTGTGACATGGTCGTTTGACCCTGTCCCGCTTGTGGACTTCGTAGACGCCATTGTGATTGACTTTTCAATTGAAATTCTCCCGACTTGTTATGGTCTCATGATCCCTCCATTAAAGTTTAAATGTACCTTTGACATTGTTATCGTACTTATCAACTGGGATAATATATTGACAATGCACAGTTTCTTTATGTGGCTAGTATACAATCAGATATACACTGTTTACAGATCAGCTCATCTTCAGAAGGTAGTCATCTACCATTACTATCTATGGAGGTATAAATCTGACATGATATAATTCAATTAACCACATAGGTAAAGAGGCTGAATAATTCTAGTTCTAATCACATGATGGTGTGATTCAAAATATTTGTTGTATTCACGAATACTTGATGGTATGAAAGACTGTCGAGCTCTGTTTGTTTTGAGGGAAGGTAATCGACAGCAGCGTCCAGAAGGAAGTAGTTCAAAATGGTGAGATCAAATATATCAACTATCAAATCTAATTTTAGCTGCCTTTTTGACAATCTGGCACTCATAGATAAAGGGAATATACTCAAAAGACACTCCAGAAATTTTGCAAGCAGTATTAACAATTTTGAAAAGTTTGTTTTTGTTGCGATGAGACAGATCCCCATACCAACATAGAAAATTGTAGGTCAACACACTTTGAATAAAGGTTTGATAAAAAACTGTCATTGACGATAATAATGTTCAGAATCAGAAATTAGGCCAGTAACAGTGGCGTCATCTGCAAATTTCACAGTAAACAAGTCATTTATTGGCAAGTAACAGTCATTGGTATACAAAACGATGAGTACGGATGAAGGAACACAGCCATGTGGATCTCCAGTAGAGGTTGAGAGAAGAGAAGATTGATAGCCACTGACATACTGAGTTCTATGTACCCTGAATTCTTTAACCCATCTGATAATGTTTTCATTAACACCTAGATTAAATAGTTTACTCCTCACACGGTGTGGTTGTATGGTATTAGTTGTTACAAGTCTGCAGATGAGAGTAAATATTATACATCGTTTGAGATTTCACTTCTTAAAACTATCTTGACAATTGATAGACATGGAGAAAGATAAAAAAAATCAAATGTATGGGCGTATCTTGATCCGGATAGTGAAAAGAGCAAAATAACCAAAATGCGTTTTGCAGGCAGTACAAGAAGTACGAAGAACAAAACATTTGTCAAGTAAACTTCCAAATACTGATTCTGACCAATAGGAAATGTTAGTAACCTGACGATATGAAGTCGGAAAGAAGTACCGGTAAGTGTTCACTTGTGTGATCGGAACACGTCATGCAATTTACGCTATCGTTTGCTTCAAAGGTATGAATTTCGAGTACTCGGGTCCGAGTCGAAGTCTCATCCCCGAAAGTACCGAAAGTAAAAAATGGACTCGTTGAAGCCCTAGTATGTAGGAAGGTAAACTGGTGTATGTAGGAAGGTAAACTGGTGTATGTAGGAAGTGTAGGAAAGAAACTGGTGTATGTAGGAAGGTAAACTGGTGTATGTAGGAAGTGTAGGAAGGTAAACTGGTGTATGTAGGAAGGTAAACTGGTGTATGTAGGAAGGTAAACTGGTGTATGTAGGAAGTGTAGGAAGGTAAACTAGTGTATGTAGGAAGGTAAACTGGTGTATGTAAGAAGGTAAACTGGTGTTTGTAAGATGTAAACTGGTGTATGTAAGAAGGTATACTGGTGTATGTAAGAAGGTATACTGGTGTTTGTAGGAACTGTAGGAAGGTAAACTGATGTATGTAAGATGGTACACTTGTGTATGTAAGAAGGTATACTAGTGTTTGTAGGAAGGAAAACTGGTGTATGTAAGTAGGTAAACTGGTGTATGGAGGAAGGTAAACTGGTGTATGTAGGAAGGTAAACTGGTGTATGTAGGAAGTGTAGGAAGGTAAGCTGGGTGTATGAAGGAAGGAGTAAATTGCGTATGTAGGAAGGTAAACTGGTGTATGTAGGAAGGTAAACTGGTGTATGTAAGAGTAGGCAAACTGCGTATGTAGGAAGTGTAGGAAGGTAAATGGGGTATGTAGGAAGGCAAACTGGTGTATGTAGGAAGTGTAGGAAGGTAAATTGGCGTGTATGTAGGAAGGTAAACTGGTCTATGTAGGAAGGTAAACTGGTGTATGTAAGAAGGTAAACTGGTGTATATAGGAAGTGTAGGAAGGTAAATAGGTGTATGTAGGAAGGTAAACTGGTGTATGCAGGAAGGTAAACAGGTGTATGTAGGAAGGTAAACTGGTGTATGTAAGAAGGTAAACTGGTGTATATAGGAAGTGTAGGAAGGTAAAGTGGTGTATGTTGGAAGGTAAACTGGTGTATGTAGGAAGGTAAACTGGTGTATGTAAGAAGGTAAACTGGTGTATGTAAGAAGGTAAACAGGTGTAAGTAGGAAGGTAAACAGGTGTATGTAAGAAGGTAAACAGGTGTATGCATGAAGGTGAACAGGTGTATGTAAGAAGGTAAACAGGTGTATGTAAGCAGGTAAATTGGTGTATGCAAGAAGGTAAACAGATGTAAGAAGGTAAACTGGTGTATGCAAGAAGGTAAACTGGTGTATGCAAATAGGTAAATTGGTGTATGTAAGAAGGTAAACAGGTGTATGTAGGAAGGTAAACAGGTGTATGCAAGAAGGTAAACAGGTGTATACAAGAAGGTAAACAGGTGTATGTAAGAAGGTAAACAGGTGTATGCATGAAGGTAAACAGGTGTATGTAAGAAGGTAAACAGGTGTATGTAAGCAGGTAAATTGGTGTATGCAAGAAGGTAAACAGATGTAAGAAGAGTAAACTGGTGTATGCAAGAAGGTAAACTGGTGTATGCAAATAGGTAAATTGGTGTATGTCAGAAGGTAAACTGGTGTATGTAAGAAGGTAAATAGGTGTATTTAAGAAGTTAGACGAGTATGTAAGAAGGTAAACTGGTGTATGCAGGAAGGGAAACTGGTGTACTTTAGAAGGTAAACAGGTGTATGTAGGAAGGTAAACTGGTGTAAGTAAGAAGGTAAACAGGTGTATGTAAGAAGGTAAACAAGTGTATGTAAGAAGGTAAAGTGGTGTATGTAAGAAGGTTAAGTGGTGTATGTAAGAAGGTAAAGTGGTATACCGGTATGTAAGAAGGTTAAGTGGTGTATATAAACTGATAAAGTGATTGTATGTAAGAAGGTAAAGTGGTATGTACGGTATGTAAGAAGGTAAAGTGGTGTATGTCAGAAGGTTAAGTGGTGTATGTAAGAAGGTAAAGTGGTGTACAAGTATGTAAGAAGGTTAAGTGGTGTATGTAAGAACGTTAAGTGGTGTATGTAAGAAGGTAAAGTGGTGTACCGGTATGTAAGAAGGTTAAGTGGTGTATGTAAGAAGGTTAAGTGGTGTATGTAAGAAGGTTAAGTGGTGTATGTAGGAAGGTAAAGTGGTGTACCGGTATGTAAGAAGGTTAAAGGTCACATGCAACGTAAAACACAACTTTGCAGATTCTGATACCTTTCGGTATGGACGTACCGAAACAAATCATCAAAAATGCAAATTCAAGTTATAAAGTTGAAAAATAGCGATGAAAACCCCGCGAAATCGGGTTCAAGCGATTCACTAATTTTCCCCGACGGTTTCAACAGCTGGGCTGCAACTCATAGCATGTCGCGAGTGAAATAGGTTCGCAACAACTTGGGCGGGCTGTCTGGTGAATACTTTCGGTGAAGGCTTTGGTGTGAGCTATTTTCATAATGTTTTGTTGATATCTCACAGGCGAGCTTTTATATGTTATGACAGTAAATAAACTGTTTATATAATTTCATTTGTCTATTTCACCACCGTTCTTCTTACCGAGTCACTTTCTCAGTTCGATGCTTAAAAGCAATGTCATTATTTAGCGTTGACAGAATTTCTAACTGTGATATAGATATGTTGTTGTCACAGACAAAACTCAATGTCTTGTTTTATTGACACCTGTGTGTCTGCCTGCCTGTCTGCTAATGATAATATTCAATACACAACTGCGATCACTGACCACATGCAATTTGAACTTAACACCAATCAGGCTATACACCATAAACAAAACGCATTGATTTATGGCCCGAGTTCGGTCTCTGTCACATTATGTAATTACACAGACAGGCAGGTGTGATACTTGAACACATGACATGTTATGATGTCTGTTGATTGCAAAATGTTATACACAAAAAATGAGCATGTATTTACAAAACCCAACATCTCTATATATACACACACAATGAGCCGTGAAGGCATCTGCAAATGAACCAGCCGTTACACTTGAGTGCACACCCACCCGCTCTGACTGGGTTCGGTATCCCGGCTGCTTCGTTTCGAGGGAAGTAAACCCAAGTACAAAATATTGCACTTTTGATTTGCGATTATACGCTTATAATTTTGTTTATTTGTTTTTCATAATCAGCAATGCATATTATATGTCATGAATAAGTGATAATTGTGTTTAATTATGTTTGATTTTTGGTTGCATGTGACCTTTGTATGTAGGAAGGTAAACAGGTGTATGTAGGAAGGTAAACAGGTGTATGCAAGAAGGTAAACAGGTGTATGCAAGAAGGTAAACAGGTGTATGTAAGAAGGTAAACAGGTGTATGCATGAAGGTAAACAGGTGTATGTAAGAAGGTAAACAGGTGTATGTAAGCAGGTAAATTGGTGTATGCAAGAAGGTAAACAGATGTAAGAAGGTAGGCTGGTGTATGCAAGAAGGTAAACTGGTATGCAAATATAGGTAAATTGGTGTATGTCAGAAAGGTAAACTGGTGTATGTAAGAAGGTAAATAGGTGTATTTAAGAAGTTAGACGAGTATGTAAGAAGGTAAACTGGTGTATGCAGGAAGGGAAACTGGTGTATTTTAGAAGGTAAACAGGTGTATGTAGGAAGGTAAACTGGTGTGTATCTAAGAAGGTAAAACAGGTGTATGTAAGAAGGTAAACAAGTGTATGTAAGAAGGTAAGGAGTGGTTGTATGTAAGAATTAAAGGTCACATGCAGCGTGAAACACAACTTTGCAGATTCTGATACCTTTCGGTATGGATCGCGATGCGAAACAAATCATCAAAAATGCAAATTCAAGTAATAAAGTTGAAAGATAACGCGATGAAAAAACCCCTTGAAATCGGAGTTCAAACGATTCACTAATTTTCCCCAGACTTTTCTGGGAATACGGGTTTCAACAGCTAGGGCCTGCACTCATAGCATGTCTTGAGTGAAATAGGTTCGCGCAACTTGAAGCGGGCTGTCTGGTGAATACTCGGTGAAGGCTTTGGTGTGAGCTATTTTCATAATGTTTTGTTGATATCTCACAAGTAGCGCTGAGCTTTTATATGTTATGACAGTAAATATACTGTTTATATAATTTCATTTGTCTATTTCACCACACGTTCTTCTTACCGAGTCACTTTCTCAGTTGATACTTAAAAGCAATGTCATTATTTAGCGTTGACAGAATTTCTAACTGTGATATAGATATGTCGTTGTCACAGACAAAACTCAATGTCTTGTTTTATTGACACCTGTGTCTGCCTGCCTGTCTGCTAATGACAATATTCAATACACAACTGCGATCACTGACCACATGCAATTTGAACTTAACACCAATCAGGCTATACACCATAAACAAAAGCATTGATTTATGGCCCGAGTTAGGTCTCTGTCACATTATGTAATTACACAGACAGGCAGGTGTGATACTTGAACACATGACATGTTATGATGTCTATTGATTGCAAAATGTTATACACAAAAAATGAGCATGTATTTACAAAACCCAACATCTCTATATATACACACACAGCTGAGCCGTGAGGCATCTGCAAATGAACCAGCCGTTACGCTTGAGTGCACACCACCGGCTCTGACTGGGTTCGGTATCCCGGCTGCTTCGTTTGAGGAGTAAACCCAAGTACAAAATATTGCACTTTGATTTGCGATTATAAACTTATAATTTTGTTTATTTGTTTTCATAATCAGCAATGCATATTATATGTCATGAAGAAGTGATAATTGTGTTTTAATTATGTTTGATTTTTTGGTTGCATGTGACCTTTAAGAGTAGGATTGGTGTATGCAAGAAGGTAAACAGATGTAAGAAGGTAAACTGGTGTATGCAAGAAGGTAAACTTGTGTATGCAAATAGGTAAATTGGTGTATGTAAGAAGGTAAATAGGTGTATTTAAGAAGGTAAACAAGAGTATGTAAGAAGGTAAACTGGTGTATGCAGGAAGGGGTTAACTGGTGTATTTTAGAAGCTTAAATGCAGGTGTATGTAGGAAGGTAAACTGGTGTATGTATGTAAGAAGGTAAACAGGTTATGTAAGAAGGTAAACAAGTGTATGTAAGAAGGTAAAGTGGTGTATGTAAGAAGGTAAAGGGGTGTATGTAAGAAGGTAGGTGGTGTACCAGTATGTAAGAAGGTTAAAGAAGGTCATTGAGCGTAAAACACAACTTTGCAGATTCTGATACCTTTTCGGTATGGGTACGTGCGAAACAAATCATCAAAATGCAAATTCAAGTTATAAAGTTGAAAAATAGCGATGAAAAAAAACCCCGTGAATCGGGAGTTCAAGCGATTCACTAATTTTTCCCGGGTTTCCAACAGCTGGGCTGCGCTCATAGCATGGCGGTGAAATGAGTTGGCAAGCGCAACTTGGAAGCGGGCTGTCTGGTGAATACCGGTATGTGAGGCTTTGGTGTGAGCTATTTTCATAATGTTTTGTTGATATCTCACAAGGTAAAGTGAGCTTTTATATGTTATGATAGTAAATATACTGTTTATATAATTTCATTTGTCTATTTCACCCTACGTTCTTCTTACAGAGTCACTCTCTCAGTTCGATACCAAAAAGCAATGTCATTATTTAGCGTTGACAGAATTTCTAACTTAAATTGTGATATAGATATGTGCGTTGTCTGAGACAAAACTCAATATCTTGTTTTATTGACACCTGTGTGTGCCTGCCTGCCTGTCTGCTAATAGTAATGTTCAATACACAACTCACGATCACTGACCACATGCAATTTGAACTTAACAATCAAATCAGGCTATACACCATAAACAAAACGCGATTAGATTATGGCCCGAGTTCGGTCTCTGTCACATTATGTAATTACACAGACAGGCAGGTGTGATACTTGACACATGACATGTTATGATGTCTGTTGATTGCAAAATGTTATACACAAAAATGAGCATGTATTTACAAAACCCAACATCTCTATATATACACACACAATGAGCCGTTAGGGCGGCATCTGCAAATGAACCAGCCGTTACACTTGAGTGCACACCCACCCGCTCTGACTGGGTTCGGTATCCCGGCTGCTTCGTTTCGAGGGAGGTAAACCCAAGTACAAAATATTGCTGCACTTTTGATTTGCGATTATACGCTTATAATTTTGTTTATTTGTTTTTTCATAATCAGCAATGCATATTATATGTCATGAAGAAGTGATAATTGTGTTTTAATTATGTTTGATTTTTTGGTTGCATGTGACCTTTAAGTGGTGTATGTAAGAAGGTTAAGTGGTGTATGTAAGAAGGTAAAGTGGTGTACCGGTATGTAAGAAGGTAAAGTGGTGTATGTAAGAAGGTAAAGTGGTGTATGGAAGAAGGTAAAGTGGTGTATGTAGGAAGGTAAACTGGTGTACCGGTATGTAAGAAGGTTAAGTGGTGTATGTAAGAAGGTAAAGTGGTGTATGTAAGAAGGTTAAGTGGTATATGTAAGAAGGTAAAGTGGTGTACAGGTATGTAAGAAGGTTATGTGGTGTATGTAAGAAGGTAAAGTGGTGTACCGGTATGTAAGAGGTTAAGTGGTGTATGTAAGGAGGTAAAGTGGTGTATGTAAGAAGGTTAAGTGGTGTATGTAAGAAGGAAAAGTGGTGTACTGGTATGTAAGAAGGTAAAGTGGTGTATGTAAAAGGTAAAGTGGTGTACAGGTATGTAAGAAGGTTAAGTGGTGTATGTAAGAAGGTTATGTGGTGTATGTAAGAAGGTAAAGTGGTGTACTGGTATGGAAGAGGTTAAGTGGTGTATGTAAGAAGGTTAAGTGGTGTATGTAAGAAGGTAAAGTGGTGTATGTAAGAAGGTTAAGTGGTGTATGTAAGAAGGTTATGTGGTGTATGTAAGAAGGTAAAGTGGTGTACCGGTATGTAAGAGGTTAAGTGGTGTATGTAAGAAGGTAAAGTGGTGTATGTAAGAAGGTAAAGTGGTGTATGTAAGAAGGAAAAGTGGTGTACCGGTATGTAAGAAGGTAAAGTGGTTTATGTAAAAAGGTAAAGTGGTGTACAGGTATGTAAGAAGGTTAAGTGGTGTATGTAAGAAGGTTATGTGGTGTATGTAAGAAGGTAAAGTGGTGTACCGGTATGTAAGAGGTTAAGTGGTGTATGTAAGAAGGTTAAGTGGTGTATGTAAGAAGGTAAAGTGGTGTATGTAAGAAGGTTAAGTGGTGTATGTAAGAAGGTTATGTGGTGTATGTAAGAAGGTAAAGTGGTGTACCGGTATGTAAGAGGTTAAGTGGTATGTGGTTAAGTGGTGTATGTAAGGAGGTCAAGTGGTGTATGTAAGAAGGTAAAGTGGTGTATGTAAGAAGGAAAAGTGGTGTACTGGTATGTAAGAAGGTAAAGTGGTGTATGTAAAAAGGTAAAGTGGTGTACAGGTATGTAAGAAGGTTAAGTGGTGTATGTAAGAAGGTTATGTGGTGTATGCAAGAAGGTAAAGTGGTGTATGTAAGAAGGTTAAGTGGTGTATGTAAGGAGGTAAAGTGGTGTACAGGTAAACTGGTGTATGTAGGAAGGTAAACTGGTGTATGTAGGAAGGTAAACTGGTGTATGTAAGAAGGTAAACAGGTGTATGCATGAAGGTAAACAGGTGTATGTAAGAAGGTAAACAGGTGTATGTAAGCAGGTAAATTGGTGTATGCAAGAAGGTAAACAGATGTAAGAAGGTAAACTGGTGTATGCAAGAAGGTAAACTTGTGTATGCAAATAGGTAAATTGGTGTATGTAGGAAGGTAAACTGGTGTATGTAAGAAGGTAAACAGGTGTAAGTAGGAAGGTAAACTGGTGTATGTAGGAAGGTAAACAGGTGTATGTAGGAAGGTAAACAGGTGTAAAGTGGTGTATGTAAGAAGCTTAAGTGGTGTATGTAAGAAGGTAAAGTGGTGTACAGGTATGTAAGAAGGTTAAGTGGTGTATGTAAGAAGGTTATGTGGTGTATGTAAGAAGGTAAAGTGGTGTACCGGTATGTAAGAGGTTAAATGGTGTATGTAAGAAGGTAAAGTGGTGTATGTAAGAAGGAAAAGTGGTGTACTGGTATGTAAGAAGGTAAAGTGATGTATGTAAAAAGGTAAATTAGTGTATGTAAGTATGTAAGAAGGTAAAGTGGTGTATGTAAATAGGTAAACAGGGGTATGTACATTCTTCCGATACTCCTGTCTGGCTTTCTTCTCATCCCACTTGTACATCGTCATGGCCATGCCCACTTCCTGTTTCAGCTGCTTTGACAATGCTAACATCTCCGGCTGTAACTTCTCCACTCGGGCTCGAACTCTGGCACAGTAAACAGCCACGGGCAAGGTCACACAGGCTCGTAAGGCGAAGGTTGTTATTGCAATACAAGCCCACCAGGGGAGACCGGACCAAGTGTGGACACTCTCTAATACACTCTGGGCAAACCCTATAGGTGGCATTTCAGGCGAAAAAAATTTGTTGTAAGTGTCTACTGAGAAATAACAAACTTGTTGTTGGTAAACGTCAGGACTTGGTATGTGACATACACTTGATAATGGTGCACAAACTATTGTTCGAACATTTGCTGTTCGACATATGGAATATATACTGCGACACTTTGAAGACATTGTTCTCTTCTGCTGAAGAGCTTGTGTGACACTTGAAGTGAGGTGGACCCGCAAACAGGGGAAAACCTGAAACATAATGGTATGTCTTATCTGACATCAGCTTATAGAAAAAATTAATCAGTAGACATTTGTAATCAGCAAATATTGATAATCAGCAGATATTGATACTCAGTTAATAATGATACTCAGTTAACATTAATTGATATTCAGTCAATATTGATACTCAGCAGATATTGATTCTCAGTTAATATTGCTACTCAGTTAATATGGATAATCAGTTAACATTGATAATCAGAAGACATTGATTCTCAGTTAATATTGATATTCAGTTAATATTGATACTCAGTATATATTGATAATCAGCAGATATTGATACTCAGTCAATATTGATTCTCAGTTAATACTGATAATCAGTACTATTCTCACAATTGATAATCAGCAGATATTGATTCTCAGTCAATATTGATTCTCAGTTAATATTGATACTCAGGTAATATTGATAATCAGCAGATATTGATACTCAGTCAATATTGATTCTCACAGTTAATATTGATACTCAGGTAATATTGATAATCAGCAGATATTGATACTCAGTCAATATTGATACTCAGTTAATATTGATAATCAGCAGATATTGATTCTCAGGTAATATTGATACTCAGGTAATATTGATAATCAGTTAATATTGATAATCAGCAGATATTGATACTCAGTTAATATTGATAATCAGTTAATACTGATAATCAGTTAATACTGATAATCAGAAAATATTGATAATCAACAGATACTGGTAGGGGCTTCCCAATATGTATAGAGAGGGGATTTCCAATATATTTAGACAGTGATTCCCAATATGTTTAGAGAGGGGATTTCCAATATATTTAGATAGCAATTCCCATATGTTTAGAGAGGGGATTTCAATATATTTAGACAGCAATTCCCAATATGTTTAGAGAGGGGATTTCAATATATTTAGACAGCGATTCCCAATATGTATAGAGAGGGGATTTCAATATATTTAGACAGTGATTCCCAATATGTTTAGAGAGGGATTTCCAATATATTTAGACAGCAGAGAGGGATTTCAATATATTTAGACAGCGATTCCCAATATGTTTAGAGAGGGGATTTCAATATATTTAGACAGCAATTCCCAATATGTTTAGAGAGGGGATTTCAATATATTTAGACAGCAATTCCCAATATGTTTAGAGAGGGGATTTCAATATATTTAGACAGCAATTCCCAATATGTTTAGAGAGGGGATTTCAATATATTTAGACAGCAATTCCCAGTATGTTTAGAGAGGGGATTTCAATATATTTAGACAGCAATTCCCAATATATTTAGAGAGGGGATTTCCAATATATTTAGACAGCAATTCCCAATATGCACTTTGACACTTACTTACATCATACATTTCAATCTTTTCATTTAGAAATGTTTTTACTGCTGTCACAATGAGATGACTGAACAGTCGTTCCCTGGATAATATACTTGTAACATTCAGATTAAATAAAGTGAGTTTACTTCCATGCCTACTCAAGTGGTACATCTGTGTCACTGGCATGTTAGAAGTCTGTATACTCTATGTTAGAAGTCAGTATACTCTATGTTAGAAGTCAGTATACTCTATGTTAGAAGTCAGTATACTCTATGTTAGAAGTCAGTATACGCTATGTTAGAAGTCAGTATACTCTATGTTAGAAGTCAGTATACTCTATGTTAGAAGTCAGTATACTCTATGTTAGAAGTCAGTATACGCTATGTTAGAAGTCAGTATACTCTATTACTCTATGTTAGAAGTCAGTATACTCTATGTTAGAAGTCAGTATACTCTATGTTAGAAGTCAGTATACTCTATGTTAGAAGTCAGTATACTCTATGTTAGAAGTCAGTATACTCTATGTTAGAAGTCAGTATACTCTATGTTAGAAGTCAGTATACTCTATGGACGACAACTTCTTCGTTATATTATGATGCCACATTTCAGTATAGATTCTTATACCATAGCCAAACGAGACAAATTCATATATTTTCACTGAGTACTGATTCCCTATTGGGGTTTGGGTCATCCAGCTTTTTAGGTACAAGATGGTTTGGGTCATCCAGCTTTTTAGGTACAAGATGGTTTGGGTCATCCTTTTTTTACATACAAGTGGGTACAGGTCATCCAGATTTTTAGGTACAAGTGGGTACAGGTTGTCGAACATCTGGGTAGGAATCTCCACATGTATGGATGGACCAGGTCCCTCTCTGATATGTTGCATTATACATGTGGACAGCAACATTTCTAAACGCATATGGATCAAAGGATTATTATCCTTTTATAACATTACCATTACTCCTGTACGTATCACATGCATTAAAGTCAATCCTAATATCAACAACAAAGAACGACAACATGTGATCAAATCTTGTTTGAACACATTGTGAAGTAGTTGTAATGACAATATCATGAGCCAGGTCGTGTTGACATATATAAGGCTGTCGGAGTGATCTCCCTTGAATGTATGCCGCCTCTCTCACAGAATAAAGATTCATGGCCCTTGTGAGCCTCGTCCATCACACCCATGACATGACAGAAAGTGTGATTTGAACAAATATCGAACTGCATACTATTAACTCATTAAGCCCGAGAGCCACTTCACTACTCAACACCTGGAACCCCTTGCTGTTTGCCCGACTCGCTGTTGCGAGCTAATTAGTGCTATTCACACCTGATATCCCTGGCAGGTTTCGGGGATGACAGGAAACTGTCTAGTCGTACAAACAAGCTCTGATTGTTTAATTGTGTCGTAAAGATACAAGTTAAAAGAAAGCAGGCGTGAATACATATCATGTATGGAAACGTTTTATGTAATTTTATTGCAAGTTTCTCTTGTAGAGCTTTGGCCGCTAGTACATTTATGTTTTATCAACATATGTATGTATTCTTTGTATGAAAGAGATGAAACATACATAGACAAATTCTTTCTCTTATATCATTGTGTGAGGTTTAATTTTACAAAATATCTATTACAATGACATACTGTAATTTACATACATGCTTTAAAAATAATCTTCTATGATATTAGCGTTTATGCCGATAGATTTCTACTGTATACTGAATATTTCAAGGAAAGTACTATTACGCTAGTCTGTGACTAACAAAGAGCACATTCATAACTTTGTTTCATCTAGATTTAATGCAAAAACATACATTATCATCATCAAATTTCCCCTTGTAATAGAACATCACGGATAGCTGCCATCTCAATAGAACGCGGTATCTCAATATAGTGGCTGATCATTTGTTGTCTATGACCAATCGTATCATGAGATACCTGTCACAGAGGAAGGGACAGGTAATGGGGCGTGGGCAAAATTTCTGAAGACCACGTTTGGTCACTCAACAGCTGGATAGAGACTGATTATTGGCTATACCGTTGACCAGTCGATATGCTGGGTTTCCGCTTTAACAACTCAAGCTATCATGTAACAGTTTGTGTATCGTAAACATACATTATCGTAACGATCTATGAAATATACACAAAAGACAAATAGGAGTAGATAGATAAAACAAAGTGATTGAAATCCAACCACTGAGTAGAGATAGTATTTATTTTCATATACATTTTACGCACTGACTGACTGAGTTTGGTTTTACGCCGCTTTCAGCAATATTCCAGCAACATCACGGAGGGGGACACCAGAAATGGGCTTCACACATTGTGCCCATGTGGGGATTCGAACCCGGGTCTTCGGCATGACGAGCCAACGCTTTAACCACTAGGCTACCCCACCGCCCACATTTTACGCACATAGCCAGTACATAAAACATAATGGTTTGCTGTACATATAAATATAATCTTCACCTTGATATGAATGAATATCCAAATTAATGTACACGTATTATAGAATTTAAAAAGTGACATGATACTGAATTATTATAATGTATAAACTTGCAGTTTAATCCCCCCAAATATTTATGAAGATGGGCGTGCCTATATTTATACTGAATGTAAACGAGGTTCATAAGATTACAGATGTGCATGCATGCATAAACATTACAAAGAGGGGCGTGACTCCATAAAGCAGGTTGTCCAATGATATAACATCGCATCTGTTTATTTTACACTTGTCACGGGACAAACCTTTCAACAAGGGCGTAACTACACATGCATTCTACCGAAGGCTGTTATTTCAAGGTCGAAAGAGGTCTTCAATTATCTCAGTACTGTAATATGATTGATTATACACATGTGTATCGATACCGTAACTGATATACTATCCAGCTTTTATTGACGATGGATCAATAGAGACTGAGTTCATTGATACACGTGATAATTACACCGGATTTGATCATTACAGAGATCAAATAGAAATGTTTTACACAATGCTCATGTAAATTGCATAGAAAACTGACAATTCAAATCAACATGAAACTTTTAACAGCGTGAACAAAAATACTTGAAATACCTTTGTATGGTTTACATGTAATAACTTATGATATTACTTCTGTCTATGTCTAAGAAGATTTTGAATTACCAACTGACTGTGTTTTGTGACAAACGTAGTAAAAGATTTCATTGTTGTAATAACACTGACATGTATTAGTTTCGATGCAAAGGCGCGACTTATCACTTTATATTCGATTAGGTATTATGTTATAAGATATTTCTATAGCGCACATATCCAGGCAACTAGTGCTTGCTCAAGGCGCTGGTAACATTATCAACTTTAGAGTATGGTAAATAACTAGTTACAATTCAGTAAGCTTTAAATTAGTAAGTTCAATTATGTTTAATCTATTTGAGCTTGGATGTATAATTATTTGTGTTTATACATTATGTTTCAGTATATGAAACATGACAATGTAATGATGCCTAAAAAGTAAATTCAAACTATTCTATTGTGTTTGAATTCTTTGTATGTCCTTGAAATTTCGTATATTGTTTCCTATTTATTAGGAAGTTGAAGAAAATATAATCTTCAGTAACCTCAAAATCATTACATCTAATTCAATCAATGTGCATAAGTAGTATTTTATTATCCATTCCCAAGGAAGAGTACCAGACACTTACCTCTGTAAAAACATCATAATCCCCTTTCTCACCGACATGTGTTCATTTGCCAAACGCTGTATAAGCCTATGATAATGATTAGCAATTGCTATCAAAACACTTTAAATACTTCTTCTGATTGACACTAAAGGTAGCATCTCTCGTAAGAAAAGCTAATATTTGCTCAGCCCTACTAAATTGGTTGAAATAATAGGTACAGTGCGATTTTTAAAAGAACGACACACATGTGTGTCTCTCGCTGAATAAGAGGTGCTTTCTGTTGACGGATATCTGTGGCTCTCGCTGTGAGAAACTGCCAATTACCTGCCCCATAAACACGTCACTCGCTGTGAGGAGCTGATTAATTTGCCCCATATATGCATCTCTCGGCCTTAATGAGTTAACAAACCTGAGCGTCAGACAGTGTGACCTGGCTGTGCAGCCGGGACATGAACAATCATGAACATGACGCTTTTATTTATTTTTCAACATATAGTCTGCAGACATTTCGTTGGACATATCACGGATACTGGATGTAACTCCTGTAGTTCCTCTAACAATCTGTGGAATATGAGTATTAATATTTTGCCAACTATTTTTATACATGACCATTTTGCTGATGGAATGTTGAATGTAAATCATTCACATCAATTTCTCTCACATACGCCTCATGCAGTCCACGATGTTGAGATGCAGAGGATAACTGTACCCTTGAGTGCAACCCCTTCTTGTCGTGTAAATGTTATGAGCTGTTTGAATCCGTTTTCATGATCGAGAGGATGGGTCGTTGTTAATAATATAAATCACTGGCTTGTCGCCATACAGCTGGCATATTACTAAGTGTAAACAAAACCTGGCTCCCAGTCTCACATTCTCTATGTGCATTCGTGGTAGATCTATTTCCCCGGCAATGATCTGTGCTTACAATGATCGACGGATAATGGAACATGTGGGAGATTTGTCCAATATACCTTATTGAAAGGAACAGGCCTCATCTCTCTGCAAGAAAATCTAACTGTGCTCAGTTTCATCGATGTTTGTCTGTATTTATGAATTTCCCATCGGCCTGACAGGCGCAAGTCACGTTCGCAAGGGCGCGGCCATATTGGACCCAGGTGACTTCCGTTAGTAGAGAAGAGGGGAAAGGGATAAACGAATTTCTCAGTACAAGTTTACATGCTAGAAATGACTTATACTAAACTGTAAACTCCATATCTTGTGTTATATTCTGAAGCATAGAACTTATTTACATCAGACATCGGCGTATGTTCTTATCTGAGGTTAACTGGGGAAGACTACGCCAAGCAGTCATGTATGAAAACCACAGGGAACAATTCTCGTTGACACCGTATATCTGGGGATTTCCCCATTCTAAAAGTAGCCCCGTGTCATCTTGTAAAGCGACGAGGCGGTTGTTGAGCAGTAAAACACGAGAAAACATGCAAGAATTGGAGACAGAATCCTCAGTTACTGAAGGTTTGGTATCGTGGTATTTGCTGTTGTGGGGGAATACAACCTGTGTGGGAATACAACCTGTAGCTTGTGTGTGTGGGTGTGTGGTGTGGTGGGTGTGTGTGTGTGTGTGTGTGTGTGTGTGTGTGTGTGTGTGTGTGTGTGTGTGTGTGTGTGTGTGTGTGTGTGTGTTTTCAACCTGTAGCTTTGTGGGGATACAACCTGTAGCTTTGTGATGGGTGCGAGTACATACAACCTCTAGCTTTGTGTGGGGAAAACCTCGTCGAGTAAAACCACATCTCCATCTTGAATTTCCGCCAACCAGACATCTCTGATCAGGGTATTCTAATATGTAATTCTTTCAGGGTATTCTAATATGTAATTCTTTCACTCTACACCAAATACACTACACGCCAGAAGAAACGTTACCCTCCTACATTTACGAATTACTTAAAAACTATCAAAGATATGTTAGAAGGTTTTAGTTAACATAAAAGTTTAACAACACAGCTTTATGCAAATCACGAAATGAAATTCTAAAATGCATTCATATCTAGGTGAAATGCATCTTTTTCAGAAGAGTTAAATTGTCCTATTTTCGTCCATGCCTAAATAAACCAATAACAATGATTTAAATGTCCAAAAGAAAGGTTGAAATAAAATTCTGCTTTGGGACAAAGATAAACCTTTTAAAGTCGACATTTTTCAACAATTAAATTAAGAAATAACTGTTGTAAAGTGTGTACAATTGTAAAAGAATCATCCCTATGATTTCAGTCTTTTAAAACATTTTCTGTTGATATGCATCAGTAAAAACAAGTAAAACCTGCCTTTGATATTGTGGAAAAGTGTTCAGGAACATCTAACATTATCTTTGTTAACATTTTTCTAATTTCTGTTTACACATAGCAATATCAATCGCCCAAACGTAGCAATATTCAAGCAGTATTTGCATCCATTTCACGTGTAGAATGATTCTATAGGGTATGAAGAGAGCCTAGAATACATGATATGATACACCCGATACGAGAAATATGCCACGATTAACAGCTAAAGAGAGAGAAAGAGCCATTTGGGATGGAGCAGATGGGGTCGACATACAATGCTGCTGCCAACGCCCTCGGATGCCACCGTATCACGGTTATAAGACTTATTCAGGGCTTCAGACAGACTGGGGTCACCGTAGACAGACCAAGACGTGGACGTCAACCATTACAACGCCAGCTGAAGATAGGTACCTCCGTCATTAAGGAAGGAGGGTAACGTTTGTTGTGGCGTTTAGTGTAGCTGCAGGAGTCGCCTGTCTTGTGGGTTACTCAAAAGTGACTACTCAAACACACAACATGTAGCTCTGTATGGGGCAATACAACCTGTAGCTTTGTGTGGGGGAATAAAACCTGTAGCTTTGTATGGGGGGTTGTGTGGGGAAATAAAACCTGGGTTAGGTGTTGCACAAATACAACCTGTAGCTCTGTGTGTGGAGGGGGAATACAACCTGTAGCTCCCCCTGTGTGTGTGTGGGGAATACAACCTGTAACTTGTAGCTTTGTGTGGGGGAATACAAGCCTGTAGCTCCGTGTGGGGGGGAATACAACCTGTAGCTTTGTGGGGTGAATAATACAACCTGTAGCCTTCTGTGGGGAATACAAGCTGTAGCTAGCTGTGTGGGTGGGGAAATACAAGCTTTGTAGCTCCGTGTGGGGAATACAACTTGTAGCTTTGTGTGTGGGGGGAATACAACCTGTAGCTTTGTGTGGGGAATACATCCTGTAGCTTTGTGTGGGGAATTCAACCTGTAGCTTTGTGGGGAATACAACATGTAGCTTTGTGTGTGTGTGTGTGGGGGGAAGAGAAAAAATACTACACTTAGCTTCAAATCGACGAGCAAAACCACATCTCCATCTTGAATTTCCGCCAACCAGACATCTCTGATCAGGGTATTCTAATATGTAATTCTTTCACTCTACACCAAATAGCTGCAGGAGTCGCCTGTCTCGTGGGTTACCCAAAAGTGACTATTCAAAGGCGCTTTATTAATGATAATGCTTTATTTTCTATGATGAGCAGCACAACTATGATGGTTAAAAAGATATACATGCAAGTGTTGTCCTCAATCAACTAGGGTTTATACAATTCACTGTTTTCATTGGAAAGGTGATCAGTTTAAATCATGTCAAGACTTACAGATGTACAGGTACAAGAGGCGGGGAAAACTTTAAATCACTCGAAGAATACCTTAATATTTTTGAATAATTCCATCATTGTTGACAAAAGATCAGAGATGATAAGGTTGGAACTTTGGGTTTGCCATTGAAGTCCATCAGGTAGTGAGTTCAAGTCCGTGGTGAGCTGGTTTAGGGCGCGCACATCCTGGAGAAATGATCCAGCCACGTAGCGTTAGGATCAGTGATCTCAACATACTCCGACTCAGACACCGAAAACAGAGTGCTGTAACTCAGATTACACTTCCCGTCACTGGGTCTGTAGTCAGCTGACCGGCACGTGAAGCCTGTCTCTGAGGTGCACTTGTCTCTGCACTCTTGTCCCGACACACCGTAGTACCAGCCGTGGTTATGACCGGACACGTAGTGACCAGGCATTTCCACATATTCGTCACTATACTTGTCACAGACTGTAAATCATACATAACTACAGTTCGGGTTACAAGTTTTGGAGAAACATGTTTTTGAGTTGGATTTTGTTCTTAAACGAACTATAACGTTACAACTTAATAACTGCCATTAATGGACAATTCTCACTCATTGTCACTGGGAGTATAAAGCCATTAATCCCCTGGTTAATTCTCACTCTACTCTGAATATAAAGCCATAAATCCCCTGATCAGTTCTCACTCTACTCTGAATATGAAGCCATTAATTCCCTTGCCAATTCTCATTCTACTGGAAGCAAATAGCCATTATTTCCCTAGCCAATTCCCACTCTACTCTGAATATAAAGCCATTAATTCCCTTGTCAATTCTCTCTACTGGGAGTATAAAGTCATTAATGCCTTGGTCAATTCTCTCTACTGGGAGTATAAAGTCATTAATGCCTTGGTCAATTCTCACTCTACTGGGAGTATAAAGTCATTAATGCCTTGGTCAATTCTCACTCTACTGTGAATATAAAGCCATAAATCCCCTGATCAGTTCTCACTCTACTCTGAATATGAAGCCATTAATTCCCTTGCCAATTCTCATTCTACTGGAAGCAAATAGCCATTATTTCCCTTGCCAATTCCCACTCTACTCTGAATATAAAGCCATTAATTCCCTTGTCAATTCTCTACTACTGGAGTATAAAGTCATTAATGCCCTTCAATTCTCACTTCTCACTCTACTGGGAGTATAAAGTCATTAATGCCTTGGTCAATTCTCACTCTACTGTGAGTATAAAGTCATTAATGCCTTGGTCAATTCTCTCTACTGGGAGTATAAAGTCATTAATGCCTTGGTCAATTCTCACTCTACTGGGAGTATAAAGTCATTAATGCCTTGGTCAATTCTCACTCTACTGTGAGTATAAAGTCATTAATGCCTTGGTCAATTCTCTCTACTGGGAGTATAAAGTCATTAATGCCTTGGTCAATTCTCACTCTACTGGGAGTATAAAGTCATTAATGCCTTGGTCAATTCTCACTCTACTGTGAGTATAAAGTCATTAATGCCTTGGTCAATTCTCACTCTACTGGGAGTATAAAGTCATTAATGCCTTGGTCAATTCTCACTCTACTGGGAGTATAAAGTCATTAATGCCTTGGTCAATTCTCACTATACTGGGAGTATACAGCCATTAATGCCCTGGTCAGTTCTCACTCTACTGGGAGTATAACGCCATTAATGCCCTGGTCAGTTCTCACTCTACTGGGAGTATAAAGCCATTAATGCCCTGCTAAGTTCTCACTCTACTGGGAGTATAAAGCCATTAATGCCCTTGTCAATTCTCACTCTCCTCTGAATATAAAGCCATTAATGCACTGGTCAGTTCTCACTCTACTGTAAGTATAAAGCCATTAATGGCCTGGTCAATTCTCACTCTACTGGGAGTATAAAACCATTAATGCCCTGGTCAATTCTCACTCTACTGGGAGTATAAAACCATTAATGCCCTGGTCAGTTCCCACTCTACTGTAAGTATAAAGCCATTAATGCCCTGGTCAATTCTTAATCTACTGGGAGTATAAAACCATTAATGCCCTGGTCAGTTCCCATTCTACTGGGAGTATAAAACCATTAATGCCCTGGTCAGTTCTCACTCTACTGGGAGTATAAAGCCATTAATGCCCTGGTCAATTCTCACTCTACTGGGAGTATAAAACCATTAATGCCCGGGTAAGTTCTCACTCTGCTGGGAGTATACAGCCATTAATGCCCTGGTCAGTTCTCACTCTACTGGGAGTATAAAGCCATTAATGCCATGATCAATTCTCACTCTACTGGGAGTATAAAGCCATTAATGCCCGGGTCAGTTCTCACTCTACTGTTAGTATAAAGCCATTAATGCCCTGGTCAATTCTCACTCTACTGGGAGTATAAAGCCATAAATGCCCTTGTCAATTCTCACTCTGCTGGGAGTATTAAGCCATTAATGCCATGATCAGTTCTCATTCTACTGGGAGTATAAAGCCATTCATCCCCTGGTCAATTCTCACTCTACTGGGAGTATAAAGCCATTAATGCCCTGCTCAGTTCTCACTCTACTGTAAGTATAAAGCCATTAATGCCCTGGTCAATTCTCACTCTACTGGGAGTATAAAACCATTAATGCCCTGGTCAATTCTCACTCTACTGGGAGTATAAAGCCATTAATTCCCTGGTCAATACTTGCTCTACTCTAAATA